TTTTTTTTTTTTTTTTTTTTGGTTTTTGGTTATCTTTGATATTTGTTAGGTATCCTATAAGAACCAAGTTGACCTGGACTTTTCTCATGTGAAATTGATAAACTTCCAATGCAATTCTTTTACTGATTATGGAAATATTCAGGTTTTCTACCTCTTTCAGAGTCACCGTTAGTAAGTTCCGTTTTTAGAAATTTGATTGACTTAAGAGTTCTAATATACTAATACAAAGTTGCTCACAATGTCCTCTTACTAGCATCTTAATATTTATGGCATCTGTAAGCAGCTCAGTCTACTTTATTATTCCCAGCATTGCTTTCTTTCTGGTTTACCCTTTTTATTTCTGGTTACTTTTATCTAAGTTTTGTCAATTTTATGCTTTTTCAAAGAAGCAAATTTTGACTTTGTTGAGCTATACTATTATATATTTGTTTCCTGTTTTATTAATTTCTGATATCAATAAATCTTTCCTCTAATTTATTTTGTATATATCATACTTCTACTGCATCTTTAAAGGTGAAAGCTGACTTAGTGTTTAGTGTCTCCTCTTTTATAAAGTAAAGATTTAAGCTATACATTTCTATTGCACATTGCTGTTGATACTACTATAAGGTTTTAAATGTGTTGCTTTCATTATTTCATAGTTATAATTTTAAATGTTTTCTACCTTTAATCATGCAGTTTTCTTGAGCTCTTGTGTTGTTTAGATGTATGTTTCTTAATTTCAAAATAAATGGAGTTATTTTGCTTTAATTGAAGGGGTTTATTTATTCTGTCTCAATTAAATAGCTATCAGAGAAATATGTCCTTTATGATGCCAATGATTTGAAGGTTTTAGAGATTTGATTTACGCCCAAGCTTGTGATCATTTTGTAGAACTCTTATATATGCTGAAGTATATACATTCTTTAGTGTTTTATATGTTCATTAAAATAAATTTAAATGCATTCAAAAATTTTATACCTTAACTGCTTTTTCCATAAGTTATTGAGAAATATATTTTAGAATCTTCAACTAGGATAGTGAAGTTGTTTAATTTTACTTACAGTTTTCACAACGTTTCCCTTATATGTTTTGGTAAGTATGTAGAATCTAGAAGTTTTAGATCTTCATAATGAATTTAATTTTTTAATCTCAAAATAGTGATGAGAAGATTCCATAAATTATGGGATTTATCAGTTCTCAAAAGTCAGGTACATGACATTGTCTATTTTTATTTATTTATTTATTTATTTTTGCTTTTTTACCACTTTATTCCAACCCGAGCACCTCAATATAAAACTAAACACTGGTGAACTGTTTTCCTTGCTATTTCTGAATTACTGTAAAATGTACAAGAGGTCTGCTAAAAGATCGACACTTAAATACATTAAATCATCTGACACATGGTAGATTTCATATAATGAAAATACCTCAAAATTAGTGCAATATATGGAACTTATCAAAATAAAGTGGACTTTGGAAAACAAGGCTGCTAGATAAATGTTACTAGCATTGTAATATTTACGTTACAAATTACAGACATATTTCTTATTATGGTTCTGGCCATGTAGGAACTGAAGCCCCTTCTTTGCAAAGGGTGAGAGGAAGAATTAGCTGTTTTATTAACTGTACACTTTGTAGACTTTTAAGCAACTATTAAATATTACAGAAAATAATAAACATGGAGGCTACAGTGCAGCACCCTATTTACAGTACCGCTGAAGATAAAATTTAAAACAATCAGGTTTGAATGTACATAATTGTTAGTGCACTGACTGTATTATGTTCAAAGGGAACAGAAACCTCTTCCCTGCTCCAAACAAGACCTATGTAATGGCCTGCAGAGATTGAAAAAAAAATTCAGATACCTGGTTTGCTTCTTTTTTTGAAGAGCTCACATGAAAGGAATATTATTCATTAAAATGCATTTCTCAGTTTTCATATTGCTAAACAAGGTGGGAGTACATTTGACTTCTTTATCACATTTAGAAAAATAGTAAGATGGGCTATAACCTAGATGCTATTAATACTCCTTTTCTTCCTGGAATTGTGGGGCTGTTTTCTTGTGGTTAACTTACTCAAATGTGGAATGTATACCTTAGATAACCAAAGAAAGGTTGCCTGAATACTGCAGCTAAGCATAAATATATTTATATCTTTCTAAAAATGTTTTTCAGAAAGACCAAATTAATAATTTCTAATTTTTTTGCACATGACTACTGTCCCAGTTTGGAGAAACTGTTTGGTTAACTGTGGGTCCAGATAGTCATTTGTCTTTATTTCTAATGATGAGAAATGATTACCTCCAGCATTCCAGTGAAACAATTACACACAGATCTCATTTTCCCTTTCTATTGCTGAAACATGCATATTATTAAAAATCAAGTTCAAAACACTTAAAATAATTTTGTATTAGAAATTTGACTCTCTCATAAGTCTCTTGGTTTTTGGGAGTCATATTGGGCTGATTAAATGCTCCAATTCCACTGTTATTAACATTTAGGAAGCAGAAGATTCCAGCTCACTCAAACTGGAGTTTTAGTTACTATAACCCTGATTTCTGGTTGGTTGTTTAGGTTCAGTGAGGTCTACTCCTCTTCCTCTAGCACAATTTGCTCCTGGATTCTGTGGTTCATTCTTTGGCAACTTTTTAGTTATTGCCATGAATATTTCATTTACATTCATTGATGTTTTAGCTGATGTTTCCCTGAATAATAAACTGCTGTCACCTGCATAAGACTGTGCTTCCTGGAAATCTACAGCTCTTTTATTTGCTAGATCAACCTTGTTTCCTGATAAAGCTATTACAATGTTAGGACTTGCTTGCAAGATATTTTATCTTGCTTCTGGAGTTCTTTAACCCAGTTTTTTGCTCTTGCAAAGATTCCTCATTTGTGATATCATATACAACAATGTCTGCTTGTGCTCCTCTGTAGTGTATTGGTGCTAGGCTATGGTATCTTTCTTGACCAGCTGTATCCCATGTTTCAAACTTTACTGTTGTGTCATCAAGACACAGTCTGGGTTAGAAAAGCAGCCCCAGTGGTACTCTCTTGAAATTCATGAAATTGGCCTTTCACAAAATGAAGCACTAGGCTTGATCTGCCAACAGCATACTCTCCCAGAAGTACTAGTTTGAACTGGAATATTTTATTTCTAGTACTTGGCACCTTAGGTCTCATTGCTCCTCGATTAGCCATGTCCAAATTTGAAAGAAACCCCTAATTTCAGACTCCTAAATGAACTGCCAGGAGGCAAGGTGTCGAATTTTTCTTTCTGGAGGTAAAGAAAGCTGAACCCACCCTGCGCGGAGCTGTGGGCCACCGCTTCCTGGCAGCGAGGCCCCGGCGTGGTCCGCAGAACCAAGGAGCTGGGTGGCCTGTCCTTCTTGTGCTGCTGTGTATGGTTTATAAGTCACAGGTTTTTTCAACCTATAGTAAGGCAGTGTCTTGGTAACCTTTGATGGGTCTTTGACAGATTTCAGCCTTCCATGTCTTAGGAATATTTAAAAAATACTGCTAATCTGGTAATTCACTCCATGTGGACAGTAATGAAATTGTGTTAGGATAAAGTAAATTATACAAATTTTCTGCTATTAAGAATTGATGTATAATATTAGTATTTTTCAAGTTGTGGAAATTAATACCTTTAATTTTGACTTTTAGGGTTACTTTGGTATATCTCATCCCAAAGTACATGGAAAGGCTGAGATGTCCATTTTTAGCATTCGAGATTTAAAGTGCAACATTTTAAAATGAATTGCGGATTCATATGGAAACACACATTTGCAGTCTTCTTCTCTGACAGTTTTCTCCTGAAATGCAAACCCTAGTGCTGTGTGGATACCATGTGACCACTCTCTTGTGACCACTCTCCTTGCTTAAGTTCCTTCGATTGGGCTATGTGATCATCAAGCTGTCAGAAGCTGTTTTTGAATGCCCAGAAATTAAGTGTTTGAGCTACAGAATAGAACAGACTCTCCTGGCATTCTTTTACTTAGCCATCAACAAATGGAGGTTGTGGAGTTTTGAACCAAACAGAGTCAAGAAAAACTGGGCGCTGAGATTCAACATGACATAATCTCTTGAACTGGAAAGACATATGGGGGATGAAGCTGACATTTTGGTTCAACTCCTTTGAGGACAGAAAAAGCTATCTGCAGGATGAAAAGAAGAGGGAAGCAGGTTTTAGAGAGGACCAGAGAACTAATAACAAGCAGCTTCTGGGCCTGAGGTAAGCAGTGTAGGTCTTGGTGTCCATAGAGTTCCTTGCTCCCATCTGTTTGATACCCTTGGATTTACACAATTCTACCTTCTTGCAATAAACCTCCCTTTCTGTCTTAGGCTACTTTGAGGGGCTTTTTGTTCTTGCTAATCTGAAATGTTATTTTACACAGCAACTATAGAGCAGCTTTCACAGCACTCGATGGCCTTGGAAGGATTCCCAGGGCTGTGGTTAGAAACATCTGATGCATCTGAAGGGGTTCTTTATAGGGGACAGGTTTTGAATCAAGGCTAACAGTTGGGTCTACTGCACTCCAATAACTTGCCACCACCACCGTGCACTTATGATCCCTTGGACTCCAAATAAGAATAATAAGAAATCTTAGTATAAACTGAATTCAGTACTAAATAGGTTTATTGAGCCTTAAAGAAACCAAATTAACCAGCAGAAAACATTATCAGAAGGACAGGACAAAAATCATCAGACCATGTTTTTCCTTCCTAACAGCATACTCTGATGATTTAATGGCTTCCTTTTTTTTTTTTTTATTTGTTTTGCAGGGTTGATCCACAGAAGGAAATGTTCAGAATCCAGAGTATATTAGCATCGTAGCACTTTTCTGAGTAAAAAGGTGGATTTGGTCCTGATAAAAAGAAAAGTAGTCTATATCAGTGACTGTTTAAGTACTCTTTTTTAATGGGCAGTGAAGGTGTGTCACAGTTTCCAAACTAGATAGGCACTGATTTCAAGATCACTCTGTCTCTCTGTTTCTGCCTCTATTTCTGTCTCTCTGTCTCTCTGTCTCTGACTCTCTCTGTCTCTCCTATGTGTCCATCGATCAAGATAAAATCACTCAATTCAGAAATCTGGAAGGTTGCTCTTGGTTTGGTTATTAGGGGACACATTTTGTGTAAGCTGTTTCTGAATGTCCAGAAACTAAGTGTTTGAGCTACAGAATAGAATAGACTCTCCTGACGTTCATTTACTTAGCCATTCATGCGTTCTCTTAAATATGTCTGGAGTTTGCCATAGATGCACTCTTGAGAGGCAACATTCTATAAAGTTTAAAAGCAGAGAATGTAGTGCCAGAACATTTGGGATTGACCCAGTCATGTGCTTTGTGATCTCTCTCTGTCTCTGCTTCAATTTCCTCATTCATAAAATAAGACTAACAAAAGAACTTGTAATACAAGATTTCTGTGAGTAGGAAATGAGTTAACATATTTAAAGCACATAAAACAGTGCTAAAGAAGTGCTAGCTGTGGTAAATATTCCCTACATGACTGGTGTCTTCTACAGACAGGCCCAAGGTAGTCAGATAACTCCACCAATACTTCCTGGGATGCACAGTAGATAGTGCTCACCTGGAATCTCTTCAGCCATGTAGGTTGGAAGCCCGTGGCACATGCCAGCAATGTTTTGTCCATATTTGGTCAGATCATCAACTTGGTTAGGGTTGACGGAGTACCTCAGAACCTTTGGAGGGGGGCCTCCTGGTCCCTTTCCATGAATGTGGAGAAAACACATGGAAAAGAAGATAGAGAAAGAATGAGTGCCACGCCCGGTTTGCTGATTTTCTAAGGGGCACAAGGCCAAAACAGGGTGATTGCTTGACCACAATTTTTTAATAAACAAAGTGAAAGAAGAGCCAACTCTTTCTGTGGATATGTCAATACTTCTAAGTGTCCCAAAAAAATCTGCTCCTTGTAAAAACAAAGGTCTGATTTATTCTAAATGTATTTATTTGACCTAATTCGATTGCTTAAATTCCTTGGGTTGGGCTATGTGATAATCAAGCTGTCAGAATATAGCTTATTGTCTCTGTCTTGTCAATGAAAGCTACCCATTTATTATTACAACAATATGAACTCAGGCAAACATTTCCAAAAAATCATAGATCCCTATTCTCATCTATCTCAATTATGGTTGCTAGGTGAAATATAGGAAACCCAGTCACATTTAAATTCCAAATAATCACAAATTATTTTTCAGTTATTCTTCCCCTGCAGTCAAGTGGGGATGACCATGACCTTTGACCTCCTCTCACCAAAAATAAAAAGACTTTTATTTTTACCTGCCTCTTCTTGACTAGAGCATCAAGGGCTTGAAGAGAGGGCATGACGTCATTGTTCATTTTGTGCACAATGCACGACTTCTTGGCAAAGAGTCTGGTTGCAGCGAAGCCCTATTAGAGAAGGCAGTAAATAGTGAGGTACATGTTCTCCAAGGAGCCTCTCTTATCAGAAGTCAGTTTCATCCACAGAAGGAAATGGAACTCCAAGATCATGAGCTGAGATGAAAGCCCTAGCTTTGGCATCGTCTTGAAAAATCATATCTATTACTAACATGTCTAGGGATGTGGACAGACTGCAAGCTTTTTGAGGGGTAAGGAGAGAGACAGAGAGAGAGAGAGAGAGAGAGAAAGAATAATCAAATTCATAGCTTTACTCTCAGTTCTATCATGGTAAGAGTTAGTCTACATATGCATGTTTTACTGAAATAAACTTGAGAAAGCTATCATATTTTAGTCTCCTTTGATCCTTACATTTCAAGGAGGCAAGTAAGACAAAAATTAGTTTTCTACTTTTTCAGATGATCCCAGTGTAACAATATAGAGTGTATTTTTTTTTTTTTTATTATAAAAGTGTAAAGTTGGTTAAATATACAGCTGGTAATTGCAAGTTGGGCTTCTGAGCTACTGCCGAGTGTTTTGCTTTCCCTTCTCTTATCAGTTAATATTGTAATTTACGTTTCCTTTGGTCTTTTTGAGTCACAGGTGAAATGTCAGTGTCTGTTATTTTAGAAGGAAATTGGAGACAAAGTGAGACGGACTATGTTCTGGCAGTGGTGATATTATATAGGTGTTTCTTTCATCATTACTGAGGCTACTTGCAGCCACAACAAAGGCTGTTCATGTTTGTCTAATATCCCTATAAATCCTTGCACGTAGTGAATCCTAATAACTGTTTACTGGCTTGTATTTAATTGATTATTCCATACTTATTAGTACTAAGTAATTCTATGCAGGGAGCAAACTTCAGTGAGCAAAACAATTTCTTTTACTTATAGCTATTATGCTATGTGTAATGAGGTTTTATTTTTATTATTTTTTTCTGGTTAGCTGTCATATTCTTTTAGTTGTTGCTGTTAAAAAAAAGACACCATATTTTGAAAGAATGGAAACAGCACATTGGCTACCTACATTTTCATAGTCCCAGAGGGAATTCCAGGAGTCCCACCCGTTGTTGTTGTCAACATTGGCCACGTTGTGGGCATTATTGATGTTCACTGACTGCTGCCCACTTCCAGCAACATTGTTGTCATCGTTGACGTTGATATTCTGAAGTTAGTAAGAGACTGGGTGTGATTTAATGTCATATTTCTTTGCGAATCCATTTGGAAATACACTTTAAAAAGTGAAACTTACATAGTTGGCAAAACCAGGAGTGATGCAGAGTCCAAGAAGCCCAATGAAGAGCATCTGAAATCACAAATAACATTGGCCACTGTCACACGGCACAGTGATGCCTCTTTCTTTCCTCTATCCATGCTTACAAAAAATATCCACCGATTTTCTGATTTGTTGGGTGATCTGTTTTCTTTTTCTACCTTGTACTTGTACCATGGAAAATTTTATAGATGACATAAAATTATTAGTTCATTATAAATAATTTCATTTTGCCTGTAGGGCTTATCACAAGCTGATGAAGAATGCATTTTAAAATAAATAGCATGCATGGTGTGTAGGTGCATATATGAAAAATCACATCTGAAAATGATGTAAGTTAATTTTCCAGTTTGATTTGAGATGATATCCTCCTAATAGTAGAAATATTATTTTTCTCATTGGTTTGAAGAATTTTTATTAGTTTCAGAAGGACTTAAAAAGGGCTTAAAAGTAGGCTGCTAGGAAGTCAGAAGTGCAAGAAATTTCAGGGAATATTTAGTACAATGTAATCCTTTCACTGAATAGGAAACTGAAATTTAAAGGTTAAGAGACTTGGCCAGAGTCATACCTCTTCTTCCCAGTAGGCCAGGAGAGCAATCAGATCTTTCAACTCATACCTAGGGCCCTCTCCTCTTTTTTGAAAAAAAAAAAAAAAAAAAATCTTCCTGCTATTATTTCCAGATAGTTATTTTACACTTGAAACCCCATTATAAGGCAGGGTTAGCTGTAGATATTACAAAGTGTAGCACACTGAAACACAAAAATATTCATCTGATTGTAGTCCCTTTGCATCCTGTTATAAAAAGCTCCATTTCCAGCACCACTGGCTGGATAGGGGGTCCACCCCTGCACTCAGGCCTCTGTGTGGACCTGCATTTGAGACGCTGCAGCAGCTGTATACCTCAGAGGCTTTCCAAAAGAAATGCCACAGCCAGGGCCTGAGGCCAACCTTGCTTACCTGATCACCCATTTCAAGCAAAGACTGTGACACATAATCTCTCACCGACAGGTTGTGATAATCAGCTTTTTATCTGGCCTGAACAAGATCAGGATTTTTGGCAAAAAGAGGAATTCAAGAGTGAGGAAATATCAAGCACATTCTAGGGGTTAGAGTCTCTTGCCCTGTATAGACAGCTGAATCAAGTGATGTGGGAAGTAATTTTATTAAAGATAGCTTGGTGTAAGATGCTCAGATATCTGTCGGATCCCCCTAGGATACCTTTCTGTGTAGAGATGCTTATAAATGCCAGATTCTGTAAAAAGGAAAGAGATTTTTTTTTCAAATTTTTACATTATGGTGACATTGCCATAAGAAGCAGTATCTCTGGATAGTAACAGTCTCCACTTATGTGATACTAAGTTCAAAGTTAGAAATGTACTTACTGTGGCCTTCATGTCTTCAGGAATGCAGAGGAGCAGAGAAGAGGAGCAGGCAGGTATGGATCTGGACGAGCAGACTTCTCATATTTGTACCTGTCCAGCTTTACTTAAAACAGGTGTGCTTGGGTGGAGTCAAAGACTTATCTTTCTTCCCTTCCCGAATCTGTGCCAAGCACCGGGAAGCTTTTGGATGCCTGGTTAACAAAGCACTTTGACATGGAGCTGATCTGACTCATCACTCGGTGTTGCTGAATGTATCACAGCAAACTCATGATGTGTGATAACTTCTGGTCCAGTTGAGGCTATAGGTGTGGGTATTTCACACACTGACATTGCTCAGATTTGGAAAAAGCATAATCCTTAAAACCAAACAAGCACATCGATGAAGAACTGTATGTGTATCTCACTTTCAAGATAGCAGCTTTGTAGGAATGTGGAAACAATGTCCTTGTCTTACCTTTCCTGATCCCATGGTAATGGCTTTACTCAGGGTAGAGAGGTTTTATGAGTGACTCGCCCCAAATCTATCCTGTTTTCTGCATTCCTGAGGCCTCTCAATGATAGCGTCACATATTGGGTTAGAAAACTGGGGGGCTGCTGTCAGCAGTTTCTTCCCACCCCCAAATCCAGTTAGTACCAAACCTTGTCATTACATCTCAGAAATGCCTTTCTGCTATGGGCTGGCCACAGGCTCCCCTCACTGGACTCTCACCGCAATTGTGTAATTGATCACTGTGGTCAGGGCTCTGAGATTTCAGTGCATTTTCTCTAAGATTGTCTTTCTAAAGCACATTATATCAATAAACACAGCTGTGCTATGCTTAGGAACTTTCACTGGTGCCCTCAGGACAAAGTTCACTCATTGGAAAGGCACCCAGGGTCCTTTATAATGGGTGTTCTGGCTTCTCAAGTGGTTTCTGTCCTTTGTAGCATGCGCTTGTGTTGCTGCTGCACCAGTTCCCTTATTCCTAGAGTATCCAGTACATTTTACACCTGTCTGACTTCGCACATGCTCTGTTCTGACCCTGGAGGGCCACCCCCTTGCCCGTCTTTAATTGGTAAATTGCTGTTCATATTTCAGATACTGCTACATCTAACACTTCTCCATTTCCCAGATGAACACACTTCACCATTGAAGGTATAAAGAACAGTTTTTATTTGGTTCCAAGTTCCTTAATTTTGAAAAAGTACATTAAAATAATAAAATTTTCATTAGAGGGAGGGAGTAGAAACTGTCACTTGGGGCAAACAGATAAAAGCTCTAGATAGTCTTAGAGGTAAACATCATTATTTTTTCTGCCCTTTCCTACAAACTGAAGCTGGTGAGTCAAACTTACTAAAGAAGAAAACTTTATCTTTACTTGTTTATCTACAAATTTTCCCTTTGGAAGCCTTCTTGTGTGCAGTTGTGCTCCTGTGATGGAAGGGATTCTAAATAAGAAATTACATGGTTATAAATGTTGGACCAGTAGCAACACTGTTTTGGAGACAGAGTCTTGATATGTAGCTCAAGCTGTCCTCAAACTTGTGATCTTCTTGCCTCAGCTTTCCTAGTGCTGGAATTAAAGGCATGTGTCCCACTCCTGACAGTATCAAGAAGAGATGACAGTATCATCTCTTCCAAAATGTTGGTATGAGTGAATTAAAGGCAGCTACAGTAAGATACCACTTGCATTTTTAACATATCTACCAATACCTTTGAAACTCACTCTTTGGCTGCAGAAGGCCAATAGGCCTGGAGTAGTGGGCCAACAGGTGTGAGGAAGTCTTCATCTGCTTTAGAAAATGTTTCATCACTACAAGTCACAGAGTGGAGAGCACAGGCTCTGCCTTCAGACTCAGCCTTGAGTGGTCATCTTGGTGTATGGTGCAATACTCAGCACATGTTCATCCATCGTACCTTACTGTGGAGGGTGGCGTGTTCTATGGACAGTGGATGCATGAAATGCAGTTTGGTAGATGGTTCACAATGGAGATGACAGCATGCAGACAGGCAGGGTTTCTCTGGAGATGGACAATTTATATCCACATATCAAGCATGCGAAGGATTCTACAGAGGAGAAATCCATGCCGCACTGTGGCACCCAGATTCTTGTAAAGTTAACTGATGACAAAACATGGTTATGTTCTGTTTTCTTATATTTATTTTTATAACACCTGTTACCATGCTTAATGAGACCATCCTTGGGGAAGCAGCAATCATGCTGCCTCTGAGGTTGAAGCTTGGATTTGAAAGTTCATTTTGGGACCTACTGGTTCGATGTAGGAGTCAAGAGACCTAATCTGTATTTCTTTCTCTCAGGGAGTCAGCTTTTTCCCCTTGAAGCTTTAGATTTCCTATAGATAAAAAAGAGAAGAATTGTTTCCTTTATACAACATTATTATCATTTCAATAGTTCAAAATCAAAAGGCATTCATCCCCTGAGTTTTGTGCTGTGTTCTCCCTCTATCTATCTCTCTGTCTGTCTCTGTCATTGTCTTTGTCACTCTTCTCTGTCTGTCTGTCTGTCTGTCTCTCTTTCTGTGTCTCTCCCTCTCTCTGGTCAACCCTCGCCTAAATCTTGGTCTCATCCAAGGCCAAAAACATGAGCAAGTCTCTTTCTCCTTCTTGCCCTGAGAACTAAATTTCATTGGTTTCATGCCTTTTCCTGAGAGGAAGACAGAACAGGTCTATGGTTTTTGTCATCTCCATAGGCGCTAGATTAGGTTGCTCCATCTGTGATACTCACTATGTCCCTTTAAAAATTTTAAACTGCATAAAATAAGATGACCAACCTAGAGGATACAAAGTGCATTGTATGTACCCACTTCTGGTTTTTGGTGCCGGGAGGAGATGTGCTGCCCCACAATGGCACGGTGACACATGCAGGGATCTCAGGTGATAGTGGGGTTTAGTGTGAGCCCAGCCAGCCCATAGGTAAATAGACTTTACCCTGCCCACAGAGGTTAAAGCTGGGCCATGTCAAAACCAGATGCTGTCATCATTTTATCTCACAGTGCACACACACCCATGATTCCCATTTACACCACGCCCTGTTGTGTCAGGCTGAGTGAAGACTCCCTTTGCTTGGAATAAATGAGATGCCCTCCATGTACAATATGGATTTGGAGAGAGGTTCAGAGCTTTCCTCCAGAAAGCAGGCTTTTCGTATTATTTTTTTCCCACTTAGTGGAAGGGAATGTTCACCTGAAGGACACATTTCTATCTTAAATGTTCCCATTCCACATTCCCACTGTTGTACATGCCCGCTAACGGGCTGATTTAGCAGTCGCTGACACCTATCCAGCCTTTAGCAATCTCATCTTCCCTTGAATTGCTGTCCTATTCTTTGATATTTAGGGCTTAGTTGTTTTTAACCTGCTAGTCCTTATACTATTTTTGTGTGGATATGTCCCTTCATGCAGACATTCTGTCTTAGTCTCCCTGCTTTTACTGCTAGTTTTTTTGAATAGTCTGTGTCCCAGTTTGATGGCTTTTGTTTTGGTCCCAAGTCAGGTGGTTCATTGTGAAGTCTGAACCCATTTCCTCTCTGCGAAAACTTCTGCCCCTTTCTGTGTCTTTGTTTACTCAACAATAGCTAAGAATCTATTGAAAGCTCCTGTGGCTACAGCCCTGGTGCTTCTAGTAATGGTATATTGAAAAATACAATGACTGTTTAAATTTTTAAAAATTATTACAGTGAAAGACACAACGTCATTAATTCCCCCTCAAAATATCCCCCCTCACTTGGAACTCACTTACTTGGAAGTCTTTTCTCCTTAAGGGTCTGTCTTGGAACTCCATATGCTAAACTGATTCAAACCATTTACCTTTCACGGTCATTCTGACTTTCAGGAAGAGCTGGAAGTCACACAGTGCCAGATCCAGCCAAGAAGGTGGATGAAGACACAATGTAATGGTTAAATGAGCCTGCCTTTCATTGCAGGGTACTTTGCAGCAGCATTTGCCATATCTGTGATCATACCTTCTAAAGACACTCATGAAAGAGGACTTCCAGAAGTGCTTCAAAAAGTGGCAATAATGATGGGATAAGTGTTTGAAGTGAGATAGGAGTGTTTTGAGGGGGATTGATGGCAACGTGTTTGTAATATACTTTTAAAAATTTAAACATTCATCATATATTTTGGTCACTCCTTGTATTTGTCTCAAGTCCCCCTTATGTACTTGTGGTGAGGAATGTCACATCTAAAAAATAGCTATAAGAACACATAAATTGATATTTTAATAATCATTGTTGGCGTCAGATTCCAGAAAACCCAAACTTATGACACAATTGTTTTTGTATAGGAGAGAAATTCTTTTCAAATTACAAGAAAGTTGAAGGAACTTTTTCAAAAGGCATTCACTGAGCTTTTCATTTTTGCTGTTCCCTCTGGGACCAGGGCCTTGCAGAATACATACAATTCTGCCTTTCTGTTGCCGCTATATAAGTCTGTGCAGTTGTTCTTGCCAAAACTGTGCGAGCCTGTAGAGGCTAGCAATGTTAGATCATGCGTCAAATTAGATGTTATCTGGACTGCTGCAGTGTTGTAAATAGGAGTGGGAAAAACTTTGCTAACAGAAAGTCCCCTGAGTAATTTCATCATTTGTAGAAAATATATGAAAATAGAGATAAAGAGAACATTGATCAGTGACTTCATTTTTCATGATCACGAAGAACAGTCAAACCTAGTTACGTACTTCTGTAAAGGATTTGGAGACAATGCACCCGTAAGAGGAATAGGAATTATAAAGTGATAGTCAGATGGTGCGGTATAGTTACCTCCTGTGTAAGTGAGAAATAATATCATTATGCCCTGTTCACCGCTCTTCTTGAAGCAGTTTAGTTGCAAGGATGTAAAACACTCATGATTAAAGTGTGCTCACTCAGTCTTGGCCTTCAGACTTGGAAAAGCCCAACCTGCTAAATCAAACATGAGATTCCAATTTCAGATGGCTAGAACTAGGGTGATAGATTGGGCAGAGCCGTGATGGAGCCGGGGTCTAGTGAGAACTCAGCAGCCCCTGCACAACACTGGTTTCCACAGCTTGGCTAGAAGAAGAGACCAAAGGAAAAAGCCACTGAGCAACGAAGTTTGGTTTAGTGAATCACTAAGTGTTCTGCAGGGTGGCTGATCGAAACTGGTTTCCTTTTCTGCATCTCAAATAGGGCACATACACATATGTGTACTCCTTTCACTTCTGAAAGAACACGTCCTCA